GGGTAGTTTGTTTCCTTGTTATTTCCCAGCAGGGAGTTGAAAGCCTGTTGTAAAGCCGAGTAGATCCCCCTTGGGACCCCTGGAAATGCTGCCATGGGGAGGACAGAAGGTGTTCCTGCTCCTCAGCCACGTGAAAAGCAGGAGGCGGTTCCCAGTGGCTTTGCCGGGCTGGTTGCACAGCCCAGGCACTGGTGCCAAGGGAAACGTGCATTCTGGCCTTGGACTTGAGCTGAGCCCCCTTCTCACACGTGTCTGGCAAATTCACCTCTCTAGGAGACAAGCCTGACTAACGCTGGCTGGAAAGCTTTTGCTGTACACGCCCGCCCAGACTAGCGCCGACAGCACACTGGCCCCGTCATTGGCCCCGTCACTAGCCTGGGTTGCCTGTTGCTGTTGGATTAAGACAGGCCTCGCACTGGAGTCTGGCTTCCCCAAGGAATGTGCCCCTTGCTAATGGATATTTACCCGGTTGGAAACAGGAGGCAGACAGCATCTCCGTTCAGCTAGGCTATGTCTACACTCGCAGCTTCTTGCACAAGAATCCACAGAGCATCCACACTGCCCACCCGCTCTTGCGCAAGGAAATGTACAGTACGGCGTGGGAAGAGAGGGCTCCTTGCGCAAGAGCTATGCTCTTTTTAACAGGTGTAAGCCCTCTTGCACAAGAGGGCAGTGTGGGCGCTCAGCAGGGATTTCTTGCGCAAGAAAGCCCGATGGCTAAAATGGCCGTCAGAGCTTTCTTGCACAAGACAGCGTCCACACTGCCATGGATGCTCTTGCGCAAAAGCACAGCTCACATGGCGGTGTGAACGTCTTCTTGCACAAGAAGCCGCGAGTGTAGACATAGCCCTAGGCTGCGTCTAGACTGGCATGATCTTCCCGAAATGCTTTTAATGGAAAAGTTTTCCGTTAAAAGCATTTTCGGAACTGAGCGTCTAGATTGGCACGGGCGCTTTTCGGCAAAAGCACTTTTCGTGGAAAAGCGTCCATGGCCAATCTAGACGCGCTTTTCCGCAAAAAAAGCCCCGAGCGCCATTTTTGCGATTGGGGCTTTTTTGCGGAAAACAAATCTGAGCTGTTTACACTGGCTCTTTTGCACAAAAGCTTTGCACAAAAGGGACTTTTGGCCGAATGGGAGCAGCATAGTATTTCGGCAAGAAGCCCTGATTTCAGACAGTAGGAAGTCAGTGCTTTTGCGGAAATTCAAGCGGCTGATTTTCTGGAAAAACTGGCCAGTCTAGACACAGCCCTAGAGTTTGCCCCAGCAGCTCTGGTGCTGCCTCTGGCCAGCAGCCGTCCCACCGAGGGGGTGTGAACAATCTGCCAGAAGCCAGACTCCCAAGCGTTTCTTTCCTCTCCCCTGCTGCTGATAAATGTTGGGTGCCTGGACCTCATCTGCCTCCTGGCCCTGTATGGAAGCCTGCATACTGGCAGGTGTCAGGCTAGAGTTTCTTTCTCCTTAGCTCCCCCTGCCCTCGCAAGTGTTTCTGCAGGAACCACTTCTGCACGCTCCCTGATCAGGCCCCAACTGTCTGGTGTTCTGCTGAGCAGCTCCTTATATACAGGGCTACCCCAGCAAGCTGCCCTCTCAATGGCTCCCTCTAAAGCCCTCTCTGATTGGCCAGAGTTCTGCACACACTCCCTCCAGCCTGCTTTAACCCCCTTCTCACCAAAGTGGGGCAGCTGGCCCAGTACAGCCATTTAACCTTGCCCCAAGCAGCTCCAGGGCACCCAACATTGTTAACAACTGCAGGAGAATTTTGCAAAGCTCCCCTAATGTAGACAGGACTCTAGAGACAATAGGCCAGATGCTGAGGTCTTCTTTCCAGGAGTGTCCTGGCAATCGCAATAGGCCCAGGAAATGGGTTGAGAACAGCCCTCCCCATGACATCACCCCCGCGTGCCCCTCAAGGCCCGCCCCCTGCGTCACGTCCTGCACACGGCGCAGGTGGCGGGTTGGTCTCCGCATGCCGCATACAGTGTGGACACAGAGCTGCTTGGAGTGAGAGGCAACGGTGTGCGGACACAACGGCCCACCGGGAAATTCCCAGTATCCCGCCGGGCCAGTCCACCCTTGCTTCTTTCACTCTGTGCAGACAACCCCACCCCCATGAGCCGTGGCCAGCAGTGCTGAGTGCCAGAGACCTTTCCCAGCGGTGCTTGCCTGTCCTGCGGGGTGCCCCATGGAGGCGGGAGCGCCCCGGGAATGCGGCACGCTCCTGGTAGGAGGGAAATTCACGCTAGTTTAGCGGTGAAGCCGATGGGCGCAGAGGCCAGTCACCCTGCTGCAGATCTCTGGTGCCTGCTGCCCCGGGCAGGGGGCTACGTGCACACAGAGCTGGGGGGGGGGACAGCGAGGGGCAGAACCGAACAGCCCTAGCGAGGGGGCAGGGCTGCAAAAGGAGAGCCATGGCCAGGGAAGGACTAGCAGTGGTGGGCCTGGAAGGCCGGCGTGTTGGAGGAGGTGAATTCTGCCCCATGCCCTGGGCTTTAAATGGGGCCTGATTAGAAGAGGGGCCCTTGCAGGAGGTGGCAGCCGCTCTCAAAGGGTCTGATTGGGCGAGAGAGGCCTCGGGTGGGGTCATGGGAGCTGCAGTCTAGCTGGATGGCTCAGGGCCCTGCTCACAGCCAGCGGTGAGCGAGGCAGGGCCAGGGCCCGGCTAGGAGGGGAGCTGCCACTTCCTCACCATGAAATTCCACCCCCCTTGGCAGAGAGAGCCAGGCTGGGCCCCCCGGCTTAGTACTGCAGAGCACGCAGCGAAGTCCCGGGGAGCGGAACTGCCAGCCCCTGCCTGCCCGGCTCCCAGGCAGGAGGCTTCTCTGCCGCCCCAGGAGGCCGAGTGTGACCGAGACCATTAACCGATACGCATCCGCTTTCTCTGTTCAGTTCCCCACAGCGCCCACTCGGGGACCCGTGGCCCGGAAGCGCCCAAGGGGGGTGGAGCGGGGCATCCCTGCCAGCTGTTGCTGCGTGACCAGCCCATAGGACAGACCCTGGCTGGGGAGCCCGGAGAGTTGTTGCAGGACTTTGCTGCCGGAGAGGGAGGCGCCAGCATTAACCGATACGCATCCGCTTTCTCTGTTCAGTTCCCCACAGCGCCCACTCGGGGACCCGTGGCCCGGAAGCGCCCAAGGGGGGTGGAGCGGGGCATCCCTGCCAGCTGTTGCTGCGTGACCAGCCCATAGGACAGACCCTGGCTGGGGAGCCCGGAGAGTTGTTGCAGGACTTTGCTGCCGGAGAGGGAGGCGCCAGGCGTCACTGAAAGGCTGTGGCCGGCAGGCTCCCAAGGGTGAAACTCCTCTGCAAGTGGCTCCTAAGCCCCGGAGCAGCTTTGGAAGAGGTTGCCCCCTGGGCGCGGAGGGGGCCCGGCGGCAAAGGCAGCAGCAAATGTTCCCCCATTAAGTGTCACGCGTGTTTCAAAATGAATCCTGTGCCGGAGAAGCAAGGCTGGATTGCCGCCCGGTTCACAGACCAGGGTCCCATCAGCCGGGTGCAGACGCTGTGGGGCAGGCTGCCCTTCCTCCCCGGAGGGCTGGGCTGTCGCTAGGAAGAGCCCTCACTGGAAAGCCCTCGGTGTCCCACCTGTTTAGTATTTTCTCCTTGGTTGTGTCCGTTTGCCCCCTGCAGGGTCACACGTTCACAGCCGGAACTGCGGGGCCGCTGGGTGAGCCAGGCTTGGGGGCCCAGCGGGCAGCAGTGGGCTTCAAAATGTGCCATCGACGTCTCTGCCCAGATGTCCGGTGGGTGCGTGGGAAAAGCGCAACGGCCTAAAGCTGCTCACAGCCGAACTCCCGTCCCCACATCAGTCAGAGACGGGGTGTTCTTGGCACGGCCCAGAGTCTGGCTCTGCAGCCTCTTCTGTCAGGCCTGCGGGGATCCCTCGCGCTTGGGCGGTGTGCTCCAAGCCTAGCCAGACCCCGTTGGGGTTGGGGGGTGGGCCATTGCTCAGTGACATGCATTGAGCTGTGCAGCTAGGCCAGAATCCCAGAGGGGAGGTGCCAGCACATTCGCTTCCCTTCCTCCTCATTGGAATGGGGGCGAAGCGCTGCCAAGAACAGCTGCCCTTCCTGCTG